CATGAGGATTGAATTATAAATTTTAAGAGCGGGTCCCAACTTGATACTCAGAATCTTAACAATGTCTGACTGAGTAAGGAGCAGGAAGGCCTCGCCATCGATTTGCTGTAGGGAAAAATAAAGCAATTATCTTAAATACAGTACATATTCACTTTGTCTATGAACACTCACAGGTTAGTGCGAAATGAGTCCAACATACAATACCATTCTAACGTTTGGGGTCAAGTAAGATTTTTTTTAAAGAAATTAACACTTTTATTCAGCAAAGATGCAATAAATCGATCAAAATTGACACTGAAGACTATAAATTGTTATTAAAAATTCTATGTTCAAAGAATTCTGAAAAAGGGTATCATGGTTAAATAAACAGCACAACTTATTTTTAACGTTGATAAGAGGAAATGCTTCTTGTGTACTAAATGAGCATTGATGAATTCTGATAATGTGACACTGAAGACTGGAGATGAAAATTCAGCTTTGCCATCACAGGAATAAATTACATTTTGAAATACATTAAAATATAAAACCATAATCTTGAATTGTAACAAGAATTTGACAATATTACTGTTTTTTTGTTTTAACAGTCTTGTTGAGTATAAGAAACTTCTTTCAGAAACATTAAAAAAAATCTACAGACGCAAAACTTTTGAATGGTAGTGTACATTTTTTTCATTTACCTCTTTCCTAAAGGTGGCAGCATGCTCTCTGCAGCCAGGCAGCCCTCTTACAAAACTTGCCACCTGAAAGAAAAACATCAACAAAAGAGACCCAATAAAAATATATACATTTAGAAGACCTCTTTAAAAGCTTAGGTGAACTCTTCCAGAATTCTTAAATGCCACCTCTTCTGTGTTCCACTTGGCCACTCTCTTAGCCGTGAGGCCTAAAGCTTCAGGCAAGAGTTTTCCATGCTTTTCCCAACACAGATGAAACCTCGGTGGCTCCCATCCACAAAACACAGACTCATGCAGGAGCTGCTGAAGAGAATCTAAAACACAAACAGACTTTATTCGTGACATGGTTTGCAAACGTGTCCACAACAAAGAAAATGTTACTAGTTGAAAATACATTTGGCTTAGTTCTTAGAAATGTACTTTTGTATTCTTCTCTGTTTCATATGGTGTTTAAATGTCTTGATTCTTATTTGAAATGAGTGTACACATATATCTACAAAAAAGTAATATGATAAATATAATTTTAAAATATTAAGTTAAATGAAATATTTACAGAAATTCTTTGAATGTTTTCGAGGACTCACAACACAATATTTTACATATTAACAGTCTTGTTACAAAAAGGTCAAATTATCTGACCATGACAGCCATGAGGGCCAACATATCTATAATATAATTTCCTATTTTAAGTTTTTTCTGATTATCTTAGTTGCACCACATGACACTGATTTGGTGGACAAAAGGGAGAAAAGCAGTTTTGCTCTAAGAAATAATAATAGACTGCAATACTACTAAATGTCTTTTGAAGAATTTAGTTCTTTTAATTAAGCTTTTTTTTAATTATGATATTGTAAGCTTGACTTCATACCCACCATAAATATCAAACTAATTTGAATTAAGAAATGCTTATAGAAGAGGTGTATTCAAATTATTGTATATAAGTTAATATACTAAGGTAATAACTTAACACATACAGGCAAAAAAGATGAGCATGACTTTATTTGCAATATTCTCAGAGTTTATGGATTATCCATAAATGCAAATTAAGCCAAAATATCACAAAATCTGATAAATGTGTACCTTTCCCGTCACCTTCCTGCTTCACTTGAGGTGGCTTGACACATTTGGGAGCGCTGCCAGACCTGAAGTACAGGAGGAATGAGAAAGAGATGAGGAGTGAGAGTGTGTGTGTGAGAGGGAGAGAGAAGTAAAACCATAAGTAACTCATGACACTCACACAACGTGCTCACGCACTGAGCGAGCTGGTGGACAGGCGTCTGTGGTGGTGTCAGGGGCTTCAGGGGTGCTGGCGCTGGGTGTGGGAGGGTGCGTCTGAGTGAGCATTTCAGCACGGCGGTGGCGCGGAGGTCCACTGAGCGTGACCGGCCTCTCCCCGTTCAGTCTGTCCGGCACCAGCCCGTCCTTATTCAAATTCAAATCTGAGTATGGACAGCTCACCGCTCTAAACATGGGAAAGAGACTCGTTTGCATTTGAATGAACATTATGGGTTGTATGTGCAACATTATGTGTATAACTTACGTGTAATGTGTCCCATACCGAGGTCCTCTAATATGTCCGACTCCGTTGCATCCTGGGGTTGGGCAGCCTTGTCCTGGAGGCACTGGAGAATCTCTGGGACCTGATATAGTTATAATTACGAGTTTGATTATGAGTCTGGTAGGGCCATGTGTGAAAACACTGTATATAAATGTGTCAAAGAGTATGTTACCGTTGGGGTGTTGTAGAGGATGACCTGTCTTCTGACACCAGCCTACTGGGTGCAGATCTGGGCTATCAGCATCTAGCCAAAAATCATACTCCTCACTCCAGCCATCAAAATGGATCTATATATAAACTCACAGAGTTAGCAATGATATACTATCTGTATTGGCAGATTGAATACAATTAATGTGAATAACTATTAATAAATGACTAATTAATAGGGGTGTAACGATACGCGTATTCGTATTGAACCGTTCGGTACGAGGCTTTCGGTTCGGTACGCATTACAAACTGAACGATTCGTTAGATTAATCCTATTAGCATACATTTGGAAAATAAAAGTGCTTAAAGTGTGTGAAATATAATGTTCTCAGTGTCCCTGCGCTCAACAAGACAGCCCAAACGACGTAACAGGCAAAGTGCTGTTTGCCCATCGATAACCTCCCCTTGCTGGGGTGCGTCGAATTCCAGAGATTTTGTCAAAAACTAGGGATGCTCCGATCAGGATTTTTGAGGCCAATCACCGATCACTGATCACAGAAAGCAGTATCTGCCAATACCGATCACCGATACCGATCTTTTTAAAGCCTTCTTTTTATAATTTATAACTATTTATAGTGATACTCCAATCAGGATCTTTAGATATTTATTTAGGGCCTGAATTTCATTTTTGAAAATGGGGGGAATTCCCCTCTTAGGTGTCTCTTGTGAGAGGAGAAGCAGCATTCACACAGGAGTCCACTACTGATCCATGGATGTTTACCACAAACACAACATTTATCCATCATTTTGATTTCAAATCCAAACATTGTCACTGAAACAGCTTTTTAAGCATTGCAATTCTTTTTTACCCAGTACAGTAATACAATCTTTCACAGACATGTTTAAACACAATAAATATAAGCAACACATTATTCAATGCTTTTTACTTTTGCATTTACTTTTGGATTTATATATTAAGTTGCTCAAGCAATTGGTAAAACATTTAAACTACTTTTCTTACATTATCACAAACTTACCATAGACAGAAATAGTCAGCTCTACTGCCTTTCCTTTTGCATTGAAATCTTTATTACAAGCAATCATGCGGTTCATAACTTTGTTTTTCTACTTCCATGAGTGCCATCTATTATTGCCTTGTTTATCTAAAAGTGCTCTTTCCCTTTAAACCTAGTCAAAAAGCCATATGTGTTGACTGTGAAACACAGTAGACTTTAATAATATGCATTTATGGAGTAATTGCAACATTTTCGTGTCAATCCATGTTCTTATTAACTGCAAACAATGCGCTGTTACTTTAATTCAGCACTTGCAGTGCAGCAAAAATAGACTCGGTGCGGAAACCATCTCTGCACTGCTGCAGACACACCGCTCCTGGAACACACTACCGGACAGCTTATTAATCTGTTAACATGAGCGTGGAAAAAATACGCACCACATTCGCACTGCAAATTTATAAACTTTAGTGACGATGTGACACTGCCTCGATTGTGCAAGTGACAATTCCTGTGTCAACTGTGCAGCGGGCAGCTCGCTTATAGACAGACGCGATGAGTGGTGATTTGAACACATTTGCGTATTTTGAGAGAAAGCGTGCGTGCAGTGATTCACTCATGCTGTTTGTGAAATTATGCCTCACACAAGGTTTTCAAATTACTTTATAAGTTATTTAATTAAGAAATATGAAGGTGAGTACCTCACCTTCAGCATTATAATTATTTCACCTGCGCTGGACAGAGACTGAGACGGTGTCGTGCTGCATGTTGTGCCAAACCTTCTCTAGGCAGGAGCGTCATCAGCTTGAGATTGGTTTTTTAAGATTGGCCTTTTTAGAGACCGCCGATCAATCATTCCAAAAGCGATTATCGGCTGGTAGTGATCGGTAGCTGATCAATCGGAGCACCCCTAGTGCAGATGTACATGCGATGTAAATAAGAGATGAATTCATCGTACACTACAGACAACATCACTGATTATAGCTTTTTTTTAGAGTGCTTACACTATTCTTTGATAATGTAAATGTTCTTTGCTCGCTGTATAATTTGTTTGTCGTTTGAATAATCGTGGAAATGCGGCTTTATAATTAAACTTAAAATGTCTCTTTATTAAACGTGATCAGGTTAAATACAAATTCAGTCTAATTAAAATATTTTGTCATAATATGGTAGCCTACTTGTCTAAAACGTTATGATGTGCGTAGTTAATAGATTGCATTAGGCTACAGTGGTTTGAGCACGTTTGACCAGAGACTAGGCACAATTAAAGAGCTGTGCTTATGTGATTGCTGGGGGCCGTCTTCAGAAACGAGAAAATGGCTCATAAAAAGGACGAGGACGTGAATGGTTTTTACAAGTCGGAATGTAAAATTACAGTAATATCGCGTGAACATTTCACATGAAATTCAAGGAAAAAAAAAAAATATATATATATATATTAAATAAATAAAAGCTAAATAAATTTTTATTCTGATGACAATGCCCTACCGTATTGCAACGCATCAAAGCAGTCAATCCAACACAGTCAAGAATAACGAGGTTGCCACCCTTTAGTAAACCGTGGACTAGCTTTGGCTCTTCCTGCTGACTTGAATGGTGATGCTTTCCGTTTGTCAGTTGATGGCCTTTCATTTTTAACCATAAATGTGCATGCTGCTTTTCTGATGTTCACTGAAGTTTTCCGTGTCTTTTTCCCTTGTCACTTAAAATGTTTCCGCCAGTAGGGACATAATTATGGATTATAATGACTTATACTGTCTTTTTACGCGTTGCATCGCGCCGGGAAAACATAAAACGATGTCTGCATTTGTGATCGGAGAAATGACAAACAACAAGCCCTACTCTACACTGCCCAAAAAACTTGCTTTAAATATAAAAAATAAAAACTCTTTAAATATATATATAAAAAAAAACTTACTTACAATCTGTGAGTCAGAACAGCCGGCATTGTAGTCTACTCTACCAGGATCAGTAAACAGTCCTCCATAAAATGTGCTGCACACATCTGAATATTTGGGTTGAAGTATTCTGGAACAGTGTTGTAAATACAACTTAACCACTGATTTCTAGTCGTGTCCATTTTTGGAAGGCCAAACCACAACAAAACACAGCGTCACACACGGCGGCCTAGAGTGAGCAGAGGCAGCAGGATTGAGAACGGCGCGGCCGGCGCATTTGACGAAGGTGGCTTGCGGCAACCACATGTGACGACCCCGGGCTGGACTCCTCTTCGTCCATGGTGAAAGCTGATCCGGCGAGCCACAGCGCAAAGTTGATGTATTCCCTCAGCAACCAGCACGGATCAGCTCCAGGCATGACGAAGCAGATATCGTCCTCTTTTGGAAGGCCAAACAAAGTAGTTTCGCTTTCACAACGAAACACACAGCGCCTTCACGACATGGCGGCAGCAACAATACTACAGCGAGAATAAAAGTTACGCCTTCTTTCTTTGCGTGAACATTTGGGCAGCGTTATGTAAAATCTTCCCAGATAGTGACGTAGGTATGTGGGGGCGTGTTAGAACGAGCCGTTTTAGGAGGGTGTGGCTGACTCTTAACTTTTATAAAGATTATCTCTTTGGATTTGAGACTTTAGTCTTTGCAACTTTAAAGATCTTCTTTATGCACCAAGAGCTTGTAACACTCCAAAGAGAAAGGAAAAATTGAAATCGCATCATATGACCCCTTTAAAAAGAAATGCAATTTATAAACTTTAGTGATGATGTGACACTGCCTCGATTGTGCAAGTGACAATTCCTGTCAACTGTGCAGCTGGCTTATAGACAGACACGATGTGTGGTGATTTTAAGCCATTTGCGTATTTTGGAGAGAGAAAGAGAGAGAGAGCGCGCCTGCGTGTGGAGATTCACTCACGCTGTTTGTGAAATTACGTCTCACACAAGGTTTTCAAATTACTTTATAAGTTATTTAATGAAAAAATATGAAGGTGAGTACCTCATTATAATTATTTTACTCGCGCCTGACAGAGACTGAGACAATGCCGTTGCATGTCGGGCCAAACATCTCACAGCAGCGTCATCAGCTTGAGATCGCTTTTTTGAGATCGGCCTTTTAGAGACCGCCGATCAAACATCCCAACGTGATTATCGGCCGATAGTGATCGGTAGCTGATCAATCGGAGCACCCCTATCAAAAACATCAATTATTGGCAATATTAAGAGGATTGGTATTTCCAATTAATGTAGGCCTGTTACATTCTTATTTTTTATTAGGCCTATTATTATTATTAAGATACTTTTATTATTAAATTAAAATTACAATTAATTTGCCCCGCAATAATTACCACATAACTGACGCGCTGCGAGGACAAGATTAGGCTATTTACTCCTCAATTAAAAGGTTTTAAAAAGGTCTTTTAAAACAGGTCTATCATACAATTAATTATAGTCCTATAATTAAAATATTTACACTGCAGTCATCAATCAAAATGTATGAAATAAAAAGGTTTTATTTCAAGCACTGACTTTCAAAAACAACCTGTTTAACACGAAATGCGTTTCTTCGCATTTTGTTTTCACTATGTACAGGCCACAAGAGAAATATTAAAGGAATAAATGAAAACAGTTCGCTATAATATACCGTTATCTGCATATGTTTAAGTAGATTCGTCTCTCGTCATCTCTAAGAGAATATGCGGCGTCAGATGTCGAAAGCTGCGTCATTCCATTTTTACTTTCACTTTCTGCATAATGAATTGACTGAAAAGTTTGTACGTTGCTTGTGTGATATCCACTGGCTTGCCTTCATGGCTTTAAACAGAAATATTTCCAACATTGTGACGTAACCAATTACTCCCCCATCCCCTACCTCCCCTATCGAAAACATACCGAACCTGTAACACCACTGTGTGAATTTTGTGAACCGTTACACCCCTACTAATTAATTAATAATTATTTTCATGTTGGATTTTAGTTATACTATATTAATGAGATAGAGATTTATTTGAGCGTAAACCTTGATTCTGTGGTCTTCTACATCAGAGATGGTGGCTACACGAATAAGCATGGCATTACGTTTATCCACTGCCTCCAGCTTCATCCCAACTTGGAAGCCATGTGGTGGTCTCTGGATGGCCAAAGATCAAAGGTCATTTACAATTCAAATACAACATAAATAATTCAAAACCAGCACCTCTCATGGTTCAGTGGGGTGAATCAAGCCTCACCTGTTTAAAGGCTCTTGCTGGTGCAGCCTGGGCTCCAGTTTCCTCAAGGTACTTCTCCCAAGTAAAAACCTTGGGAGGCTTATAATCTAAGACACAAAAATAAACAGACGTTAAATAACCTTAAAACCACTTGTCATCATGCTCCTCAGTCTAAAAAATTTTATACTAATCAATTTTAACTGAATACAAAATGTTAGGTACATCATAAATTGTAAATATTTTCTTTCGATAGTATTTCAATTATTTATTTTAACTTTAGAACAATGTCAAACAAAAGCTGCTAATCATTTAATTTTGGAAATAATTACTGTTTCTCACACAATATAAAATAGAATTCCATAATCATTTGTGAAAGAAATGTAAATGATCACTGACTGCAGGGGTGAATATTACATGAAAAGAGTTTCACCTGCAGGTGTAGTGAGCATTAACTCAGCCTCCTCACAGTACCCTACCGGATGAATGTATGGACTGCTGGCATCACACCTGAGAACAAACACAATTAATTTACTACACAATCATGAGCAATGCCAAGAATTCTGCTCAGTCACTATCTTTACCAATAATCATACGAATCATCCCAGTTGTCAAAGTGAATGAGGAGTCGGTTGTCGACAGCAGCAGCAATGGTTGCAACACAGATGAGTGATGGGTTCTTCCTGTCAACGGCTTCCAGCTTCATCCCGGCACGGAATCCTGACGGTGTGACCGACTAAATATGGCAGACAACACATGGTTGTAAAAGACAGCATGATCTTCAGAACAGAAACTAACACTGAGAATCTACGAGAAATACTTTATAATTGTGTGCATATAAAATGACATACTGTATTAAGACTCTTGAAGAGATGTTTGGGGGCCAGTTGACCCCTACAGTTCTTTACATATGTGTTCCAGTTAAACTCTCCATCTTTGCAGCCTGTAAGCAAACACACAAATATTACAAAAACAGCATATGCAACCCATTTTACATTTTTTTTTTAAACAAACTGAATATTCTAGCAGCATGTGCAATGGCATATGCAACATTTTTGCATTCCACTGTGCTACTTTTCAATTGTTTTTCCTTGTAAACACACGTTTGACTGTTGAGCTCGCATCTCGCTACTTTTGTAGCATCTTGAGCATGACAAGGCATTCCAAAAATACAGCACATCTCAAGCCCCTGCGTTTTTTTCCCCATTCCACTGCCCGCATCTCGCATGTTTCAAAGCAAATACATGATCTGTGTGAATAGTCCCTAAGAGTGTCTAAAAACCCTGCA